TGAGGGAGGGGGAGGGGAGGGGAGCGGGGAGAAGAGCTATTTTAAGCATCACTTCTGAAGATGATTTAGAATTAATCCATAGCTGTGCACAGTTCAATCAGGTGAAAAGCCTGATGTTTCAGCAGAACACGTGGAACAGCCAGCCTTGTTTCTCATTTCCTTCTTCTGCATCCTAAAGAAAGGGCAGCATTGTTATAGAATCATAGAATCATAGGGTTGGAAAGGACCTTGGAGGTCTTCTATTCCAACCCCCCTTTCTCTGCCCTTTTCCAGTGCTCTACCACGTGTGGTGTTGGGGCCTTTTGGAGACCAGTGGAATGCAACACCAAGAATGAGTCTGACTGCCAGCACATCAAAAAACCCGATCCAGCCCAAAGATGCTATCTTCGGCCATGTGCACAGTGGAGAGCCGGAGACTGGAGCAAGGTAAAGAAAGCTGGCCCACTGGGATTTTGAAATATTATTTTACTGTGGATTTCTGCTTTTTGGAAACCAAAAACGCCCTCAAGATAGCTTCTTCTCTGGCCTTGATTTAAAGTGTTTACTCCTTTCCATAAGCAAGTAATGGGGGAAATGCATTTTACTCTCAACATATCCCTGGAATGTAGCATAATTTCTTTTACCCTGAAGTTTCTCAAATAAATTTCCTGAACTGACACTTGAAGCATTTAAGTGCAAAAATGGAAATAATCAAAATAATTATACTTTTTCAAAGCTGATTTTGAGGCAGATCTCTTTCTATAGAGTGTTCCCTATTCATATTGGCTACTATTTTCTGTTCTTACCAACTGAGATACTTCAAAAAGAAACCTTTTTATTAGTTAAATTTCAATTGTTTCCCTCGGGTTGTTATTCCAGGCTCTTATCAAAAGTAGATCCTGGGAATAATAATCTAAGCCTATTCAATGTGAACATTTTAAAGCATTTTAGAATGTCCATAGAAGTTACATGTTCAACCAGAAGCAGTTATGAAAGGGATGGTGGAGTTTCTGTTCTTCAATACTTGATCTTTATTAGCTTTCTATTCAATAGGATCCAGTGTACCTTGTTTTAAGCAACTCTAATTCCAAACATAGTCCTCATACTTCTCACTTTTTCCTCACTGAAAGGGACAGTCTTGAATGGCATGATAGAGTTGAGTGGCTCAAGATTCACATTGTCAGGCTTTTTTCACCAACAGCCTCTCCTTCAGAAATCTAGCTTCTTGGGAAACCTCCATAAGCTGACTCTCTTGTTTCCCATTATTGCTGTAGTGCTTTCAGACCTAGGCTGCAAAAATGCAGTTGACCATGAGATGATGCCAAAAAGTTAGTATTCTGTTTCTCTTTGCTGCCATCTAGCAGTTGCCTAGATTTTTGTAACCCAGATCTGGTGGCCCCTAATTGCTGTCCATCCTAACCATACTCTCTTGGGCAATCTGATTTTTTTCATAAGGCAGACCTTATGAAACGCCTTCCTTGAATCTGGAAGGCTGGCAGATTGGTGTCCTCTTATCTAGAGTGTTGTAACACCTGCTTTGGTGCCTTGATCCAAGGAATCCTACATTGTTCTGAAGAGTTCTGATGCCCTGAGGCATCAGGGCAAAAAGATTGCTTGCCAGGTCCAAATACTTTGCTCTAAGGGGCCCTTGCTCAGAACAAGGTATTCTGGTAAGATAACCATGGTGGCCAGGTTGGGTCTTTGGCAGTGCCTCACCTATAATGCCTTGCTGGCAGAAGCAGCTGTGGGTTCCCTGACATGGGTGACAGATTTTTTGTGTCAGCTCTATGAGTTGCTATAAGCCATCTAGCCTGACAAGACAAAGCTTTTGTAGCTAGCAACAAGAAGGAATGTTCTTGTGGTTTTATAATTTATTATCCCACATATCATCATTACCTTCCTGAAATCAGGATTAAACAACAACTCTGGGACATAGATTAATAAGAGTGAAGGCAAATTGCCCAAAGTTAAAGTTACTAAATGATCCTGACAATCTAGAAGTTGCTGTTACTATTTCTATACAATTCCCTCCCACACACACAAACAAGCATTTACAAGAGCACAGTTTACAGAATAACAAACTTAATCAACAAAACCAATAATCCTATAAGACAACAAAACTGCAAAAGTTAAAAAGTTATGTTCAGTTTAAAAAATAATCTAAAAAGCAGCCTGGTCCTCGATTAGTTGTTGTCTTACATAGGCTAGGCATGCCTTCACTTGTTTCTAGTGTAGGGTCCAGCCATGCTTCCCTTGGGAGTTTTCAGTTACATACACAGTAACATACATAATGTTACATACATTATGTGACATAATGTAACAGCTGTATCTCTCTACTCTGTGAGCTTAAGGGGAGCTGGATTGTATATAGCATTCTGATTGACTTCTTTGGCAGGAAATTCTGTAATTCAGGGGCAGCCACTGAAAAAGCCCCAGTTCTGGCTATTGCACTGTGAGCCGGACCAGCCTGGCGGATGGTAAGTAAGGCCTCCTCAGCTGATCTTATCACAAGGAATGGAAAGTATTGGAGAGGCAATCTTTTAGGTTATTGGGTCCTACACTGTTTAGAGCTCTACAGAGTAATGTCAATACCTTCAGCTGGATGTAGTAGCTCATTGATTGATTATGTGCCATCAAGTTGGTGTCGACTCTTGATGACCACATAGATGGATTTTCTCCAGGGTGCTCTGTCTCCATCCTGGTTCTTCAGATCTTCTAGTTGTGCACCCATTGCCACTGTAAGTTAGTCTGTCCACCCTTCTGCTGGTCATCCTCTTTTTCTTTTTCTTTCTACCTTTCCCAGCATTATTGACTTCTCCAGTGAGTTGGTTGTTGCAGAATGTGTCCAAAAGGTGATAATTTGAGCCTGGTCATTTGTGCCTTGAGTGAGAACACTGGGATTTGATTTGTTTGATGATCCATTTGTTTGTTTTCTTGGCTGTCCACAATATCTCAGAAGTCTTCTCCAGCACCAACTTTCAAGAGCATCAATACTCTTCCTATCCTGCTTCTTTAAAGTCCATTTTTTGCTTCCATATAGTGTGACAGGGAATACCATGGCTTACATGATTCTGATCTTTGTAGATATAGACAGATCATAGCATTTGAGTAATTTTCCAAGGCCTTCATGGCTGCTCTACCAAGTGCTAGTCTGTTGTGAATTTCTTGACTGCTTGTTCCTTTGCTGTTGATAGTTGATCCTAAAAGGCAGAAGCCATCCACCACTTTGATATCTTCACTGTCAATTCTAAGGCTGGTTCTGCCCGTTGTCATTAGTTTGGTCTTCTTTATATTTAATCTTAGTCCCATGTCTTCACTGTGCTCCGTAACTTTCATTACTCAAGTTTCCAGAATTATTTGTAATGTCATCAGCATAGCACAGGCTATTGATGTTTCTTCCTCCAACTTTAAAACCATTCTCATCGTCCAACCCAGCTTCCCTCAATATGTATTCTGCATATAATAGTAGTTTATAGACAGCTTGTATTCTGTTAGTATACTGCTCACTCTGCTGCCTAATGGCTAGCATGTACGTGTAGAAGGATCCAACTCACAAATTATAAGGTACAGTATAAAAGCCATTTAAAAACTATGCTGTGGTTTTTAAGAAAGAACAAATAAGCATATTTAGTAACTCCTCTTGTACAGTTAGACTGGATCAATTTCAACTGCTGATACTAGAGAACGTGGACAAGCTATTTGGAGTAGTACATTTCACCCCTTGTCCTCTGGATCCTTGCCAAATGTTGGTATGTCACTTCTGGTCAGGAGGTTATTAGAGTTGCCTTAATTAACATCATGCTGATGACACTCAGATCTATTTCTGACATCTTCAGGAAATGGGATGACACTTCTTAACACTTGTCTGCAGTCAGTAATGGGCTGGGTAAAGAATAATAACTTGAAACTATATACAGGCAAGATGTAGGTTCTTATTGTCAAGGGCAGGAATTCCAGAAAGGTGGCATGTCTGCCTGTTCTGAATCTGGGATAACAGCTTCCCAGAAGGAGCAGATATGCAATTTGGGGATGCTTTGGGGCCTGAATCTCTTCCTCGCTTTTAAGGCTATTGCAGAAGTGCATTTCATCAGCTTTGATTGATATGCCAACTGTGTCTCTTTCTGGAGAACAAATACTTTAAAATTTAATGATCTTCAGGCTTGACTATTTTAATGCACTCTTCTGGGGCAGAAACATCAGCTGGCAGACAACGTGGTCTTGGGAAGAGCATGAGCTGACCATATTATGTCTGTGCTTCAAGCACTGCCAATTCATTTCTGGGCAAAATACGAAGAGCTGGTCATTACCTTTAAGCTCTGCGTGGCTTAAAGACTATTTGAGAGGACCCTTCTTTCTGTGTGAAACTCCATGCTCCGTTCAGAAGGTTTGCCTACAGTTGCTGCAAGCAATTTTGCTGGAAATTTGCTGCTCCAGCTCTTTAGCATGCACGGACATCATTATTAGCTTTTTTTTTAAGCCTTAAAGTACATCTTTTCATATGGGCGTTTAACTGTTGATATGAACCGTTAATTTTAATTTTACTTGTTTTCCTTTTTAGTTTTAATTGCTATTTTAACTGTTTTTAATGTTTCCATTTTTAAAGGTGTTTTTTTACTGTAAACCATTGATAGACTTCAGTAGCTGGCAATATGTCAAGTAAAATGCTTTCAGGACCCATTTAACTGCCCAGTTTAAAATCAGGTTGCGTTCTGTACTATTGGCAGCTTCCAGACATCTTCCAGGGTAGCCCCATGGAGAATGCCTTCTAGTAATCTGATGTTTTAGGGCATGGATCATTGGCACTAGGCTCTCCATCTTGATAGGATCATACACAGCCCACCAGTCAAACCTGGTCATAAGCCTCCTTGCTACTAAGGCCACCTGTGCATGTAGTAAAAGATCAGAATCAAGGACAACTCCAAGCTAGGTACGTTTTCCTTCAGAGGGAACACTACCTCATTCAGACCTAAGTCCTGGGTACCTACCCACAGGCCCTCTATCTCAGCTGGATTTAGCATCAGTTTCCTGGACCTCCTTTAATCCATCACAGGCTCCAGCCATCTGTCAGGAACCTGCACAGCCTCTCCTGATTCAGCGGAAAGGTGAATTAGTTGAACTAGAGAGGTCGTCAAGCCTAAGTATAGATAATGTTACACCTACAAAATGTAAATTTTGAGGTCTTCAGGCTCAGGCATAGATAGGAAAGAACTTACACATACAAAATATAGTTGGGTTGGGTTTTAAATGGTGAAATGGATGTCTTAAGCCTTTTATCTCAGTAGGAATAATCAGGCAGATTTGGGGAAACTTAGGAGATGCCATGGGTATCTTAAGCCTCATGCAGATTTTCTATTCATTTCTTTCCTTTTAAAGCTACTCAAACAACCCTTTTAAAGGAGTATATATATATATAGCTCCTCTCTGTCTGGGGATTCACTGGGAGGCCAAAGAGGTGCTATGGGGCCCCCATCTCTGCACTGCATCTTACCAGTTCCCCGGTGCTTTCAGAGACAAATGTCAGGGATCTCTGAAGCTACAGAGCCTACCTTCTTGCTGCTGTTCCCTCCACAGTGCTCCTCCAGCTGTGGAGGTGGTTTCAAGACTCGAGATGCGCAATGCATTGATGTGCGAGAGAAGAGACCCCTGAGGCCATTCCACTGCCAGGTAGCGCAAAGCCAGCCAGTATTGAACATGAGCTGTAACATGGATCCTTGCTTGGTATGGCACACAGAGCCTTGGAATGAGGTACAGTGTGTCACTTTGATTACTTAACCAATGAAATACAGTTTGTGTATTTAATCTTTTGCACTTCCTCCTGGAAAAGCCAGAGCATTCTGAATTGCACAGACCCCATGATTGCTCTAAGGCAGCCTTCCCCATTGTCAGCCCAACAAGATAGACCAGAATGAGAAACCAAGACTATGCAGATCAGGATTACTTTTATTGTAACAGCTGTAGTAACAGAATCTTGCAGATTTGAATGTGGTTCCCCCTCCCTCACTTTATCTTTCTGAGAACTAAGGAGGGGTTTGTCAGAGATGTTTTCTCAAATTATATTCTTGGCCTGGGCTAAAGCCCTTCTTATCTGACCATTTCTTTGATAGTGGCTCTTCTTCCCGTCCTTCAAGGCCATTCCCTATTCTCTCTACACCCAGCCTGTTGCTCTTCAGGTATTTGGAAATGATGACTTGCAGAATTCCCAGCATATTTAGGGGACAAAATAGGGGACTATTTTGGGGGATGCTATCTCAGAGCATTACTCTGAGGGTCTCCAAAAAGTAGGCTGTCCAGCAGAAACTTTCAACATATCTTGGCCAAAGGGGGATCATGTGTCAGTGGAATCACCAATACATTTTTGGAGTGGTGTGTTGGTTAAGGTGGTCAATTAGGAACTGGGAGCCTAACTAATGAAGTTCAGTGACTATTTGGGGGCATCCTACCTCACCCAGCTGCTTGGGGGGGGGGAAATGAAGGAGAAAATGCTATCTATGCTGCTTGACCATTTGGAGAAAAGGCTGTATATAAATCTAAGAAATAAATAATAACTGTAAGTAAGCTGATAAGAGGAAGAAGAAACCCAAACCTGGCAGGTTGAATTCTTTTAATATCAGAAGAGGACCATTTAGTGTCCTCTTTTGTATTTGGTGTCTCCAACAAATAGATAATGAAAATAGAGCAGGATTAGAAGTGCACCCTCAACCTGAAAAAGTAGATCTCTTTTATTCAGACACAGGGAATTCCAAGCATCTAAGGCCAGCTTCTTTGGTCCAGACTGCAGCGCATATGTTTCCTAATTCTTCACACTACACACTAACATTGGATTTGTAAAGCAGAAGGAACAAAGTCTCCACAAAGCCTGGAAAGACCTATTTAATAAGGGTGAGGGTGACTGCAAGGGTAATAAAAGATGTGCCACTTTCAGTATTAACTACGACTGTAGCAGCCATAACTGCTGGGAGGGGGTCTCTTAGCGTTATATGTTTAGTACAGCATAGCTTCCTGCATATTATAGTGATGCTATATTTATCATTTCCACCAAGGCACTGCATATGTCATTCTTCCACATGAACAAGCTGAGAGTATACCCTGTGCTTAGAGTTTGTTCATCATTGTTGGTTGAATTAGGTCCACCTATACATTAAACATAAATCCTTGCTGTGCAGACTTCACAGTGACCAAGTTCACAGAGCAAGAAGTTAGAGCTTCAGGCTCATGCTGAGCTCCCAAAGACAATTAGATGCAGGGCAAAGGATTGGGGTTAAGTTTAGAGTTTCCTTCTGTACCACATCGGAGGCTAGCTAGAAGGTGGCTTGAGGTCTGAGCATCTGCACTTGTAACTTGGCACTGAGCCGTAGCCAGTAGGCGTAGATAGCAATGTGCCCAGCCCTGATGGCGAAAGTATTATTTATCATTTATTAAAATGTGTTAAGTATCAGTGACTAGGACCATCGTATCATGCCTCATAGATCAAGAGGCAGGTAACTGTTGTTTTATGCCCGGGATATTTGGTGCTCTTTTTCACACTGTGGGCAATTCCCTTCAGCCACTGCTGTTGCCCTCTTGCCCCCGCAGTAGTTTCATTTTGTGTGTAAGCGTCCTTTTGTTGCTCTCAGAGGCTAAAGAGGATAAGGAAGGGGGAGGAGAGTGATGCCATCAAGCAGGGCAATGCAGAAGGAAACCTGGCATTCTAGCCGGTGTCCTGGGGCCCTCCACTAGTCTCTCATTTCACCAACACTGATGGGATAGTGGCAAGAGACAAGGGCATCTTGGCTTCAGGAGGGAGGGGGGAATCCTAGGAGGGGGAATGAGATGGGAGTTTCAGGGTTTGGCAACATTTCCTCTGGAGCATCTATTGAGCCAATAGTTACCTTGCAAAGCCCTTCCAAAACCCCATGGCATTGTGAGGGCACAGGGCATGGGGTTGATTCCCAATCAATGCAGCCTTTATGCTTGGAATGTGTGCTCCGTCATTCAAAATGTCTTCCAGTGTTCGGTTTCATGCGGAGGGGGCACCCAGAAAAGAGCAGTGCACTGCATCAGTGTGGATGACCGTGCAGCCAAGGAGGAGAACTGGTGTGAGCAGGAGACCAAGCCTCCAGATTCTCAGAAATGCAACCTACAAAAGTGTGTGAAAAGCACTGGTGAGTTTATTCCAGCAAAGGCCTGTACAAAGAAATCATCCTGGGTCAAGGCTGCAGGCAATTCTGCATGATAAGCTGGCCCATTGGAGACATTCTGGGGTCTGCTTTTCCAAGGAGCAAATATTTTCACGTGTTGATATATTTTTGGGTTAATCTCTGAATTTTAAGGATGGGAGGGAAGCTTGAGAAAATGTTATTGAAATATGCATTTTTAATACATTTGCGTGCATTTGCATTTCTCAACACTGGCTGTGTCCATACAGCTTGTTTAACTGGGCTACTGAAGTAACCCATTTTCTGGGTTCATGCTATACATTAGATCATAAATTAGCCAAATGGGATAGGTTTGCATAACACACTAACAACCTTCCCACCACAACTTTAATCAGTTGAAACTAACCAAGTTTACATGTCATGGGTCTGTGCATTAGTTCTGAACTGTTTGAAGCACAGCATAAGAAACAGCCATTTTATCATCACATATATGCTTCAGAACATATTTATCCTAAAATGAGCATTTATAAATATATTTTGTACTTATTTGGGCTGAAAAAGTGCATCACAAACTTCCCAAACATCACAACGTGCAAATTCTGAAGGAGAATGATATTCTAATGTACACATTCATTAATCCAGGAGGAACCATTTATCTAATTTCCACAAAGAAAAATGTCATTAGGTATCTGTAATCCAATGATATATATTTCTCTTTCCCAAACAGGCTCAGAACAGCACAGAAGCTGTTTCACTAATAACTTGAATTTATATTTAAGTCCTTGCAATCATATTAAAGCAGCACAAGGTTGGGTCTTAAGTTCATAGCACAAACTAATCAAGAGTAATGAGATCTAATGAAATACATGCTATTACTAATAATTGCAAAAATTAGACATCACTTTTCACTTTTTCACCATCCTCAATTTGTCATCCTGCAGATTTTAGAGCCACAACTCCCGGAATTCCCAGTTTCCTGCATCTGGCTAATATCATAGCTGGCCTGAGATATTTTGTGGCTTGCACTGAAGAACAAGTTCCCCCCACATGTCCTGCCATTCTATCTTCAGAAGCTGGTTAGACCAGCAGTTGAATTTTTTTTCAACACTAAGTATCCTCAATTATATTGTCACAGATTCAGGGTTGGTGCAGACTCCAGCCTGGTTGCACACACATTAATTCCAGCTGGAAAAGTGCATTTGTTATGAAAGACTACCTGTCATTTTTACTTACAACCATTTAGTTTATCCTATACCTCCTATTTCTATTGCTTTCTATAGGGTATCTTAATCTTCTGTTTTCCTTATGTATCTCTATTCTTCTGTCCTTCCTATAGCCTTTTCTAAGTTCTAACTATCTGACTCTTGTTCTATTTTTCTACCTATAGCTCTCTAATATTCTTTATTTTTGCACAATCCATGTTCTCTGTATAACATTCTGTTCTAGCTTTAGCCCCATCTTAATTCTATCCAGCCTGGCCCCTTCTCCTTCGGCAGTCTTGGCTACTGGGCTGGCTTCTACTCAGCTGGACTTGATTATCACGGTGCTTTTGGTGTCTCTTGTCATTGTCACCAGGGCCAAATCTTATGATGGTTCTTGCCATACCTGTTTTTTTGCAGCTTTTCACCTCCATAGCCAAACTAAGGTAGTTTTCTGCCTGAGATTTAGTCAGGCAGCAAACCTGCTTAGGGAATGCAGGGCTAAGTTTCTAGAAAGACACACCTCTGCCATCCATAGTGCCTAACACCTGCTACCTGGACTGTCTTACTGCCCGATGGTAGGACTAGCTGTGAACAAAGTGGACAAAAGCAGAATGTACATAACTTCCTGGATCATATCATTCAGGTACAATTTGGTAGCACAGTTAAATGTGAATTGAGCCATCTGCCTCATCCCCAGGATGCTGGGACTGAACCTTCTATCCCCAGTTGGGTACAACTAGCTGCACACAAATACAATTTTAACACCTGTTACAGCTTGGTCAGTTAAATTACGTGTCTAACGTTATACAATTTTGTGAATAAAAGAGAAATCTCCCCAGCCTTAATGAAAATATGTTAGGATTCTGAATTCTTCAGTTTCCAATTTCATAATTTCTTGGAATACAAACCATAACTGAATACAATCCAGCAAGTGAAAGAAGATAATTAATAGAACACTGGATGTCTTTCCTTTTCTCTCTGATACTCTGTCTTATCTTAACTTTGTGGCATCAAAGTAACTTCTTTTTGTACTTATATACCCATGACTTTTTCTTTACAGGTTCATCCTGCAGCAAGGACAGACTATCAGTGACTTTCTGTGAGAGAGTGCGAGATATGGGCAAATGTTCTGCACCATCAGTGTGGAATCAGTGCTGCTCCACGTGCAAGAGATTCTTGGCTGTTAACAAAATGAGGGGTAAGAATCAACCAAGCTTGAAACATAACCCAAACGAAAACTAGACTTGCTAAGGTGGAATTCAGAAATAAAGAAATCTCTTCTACCATTTCCAGCACGGTCTGTGGACTTATAATTCAGTGGCTTTAAAACTTTCCAGAAGCAAGGAAAGCCTTTTGAAACATTGGACTCATTATTTTTGTACATTCTATATACTATCCTTATTTTTCCGTACCTGTCTGTAGTTCCTTTAATGTGTCATTCATTTTCCTTCCCTGGATCTTTTCCTGTTGGATCTTTCTGGCCCAGTTTAAATCAGGTTTTCTTGCTTTTAATGGCAACACCGGTTAAAGCCCTTTATGCTGATTCAGCAAGAGAGCTCTACAGGAAATGGAAAAAGAAGTTGATATATGCAAGTATACGCCTTATTCTGTAGAAAAACAGTCATCTAGGTCCTGTTGGATTGATAATGAGAGACTCATTAATGCACATCATGAGTTGTCATTGTCATCCATTGACTTATATGTCACTTTTTCACAAAACAGTGATTTTTGAAGCTAAGGCTGTAGAACCTGAAGTCCTCCAGATGTTTTTGAACTTAACCAGCATGGCTTATGCTAAAAAAGTACGGGACAGTGATCAGACAATACTTTCCCTTCCTAGGATTGTATTTTCTTCTGAAATTCTATATGTAAAGAATTGTAAAAGTTGCCGTATTTGTGGACAACAGATTTATACCTCTAAGTGAATTAACCACTTTTGTTCTTAAATATGGTGCTATTATACTGTGGTGCTAAAACCTGTATGGCCTCTAAACACTCTTCCTATGGCTGGGTTCAAAGAAGATGCTAAGCCAGAGCCAAGCAAATAATACTTTGGCTCATCACAGTGGATGAATTCAACCACCTCAGTTTATAATCATGGAGTTTTTGGCTTAGCACGTCCTGTCAACCTAGCTAATTGTGAAGTAGTGAACAAACTATGGGTAAATAAATCATGGCTTAAGGCAGTTTGTGAAACCAGTCATTGTATAAATGAATGGATGATCAAATCTGCATCTGCCTTGAAAATATACTTCAGCATGGTGTTGCTGTGCAATGCCTGCCATATTGCTTTTTCAAGTATTATTTGGTATGTTTTGCTAAAACTGCTTTAATTTGTAAAATACTGAAAGTTGTATGGCCCCTTGTGAGACTATAAAGTGTGTCTGCTTCTTTGATGCTGGCAAGAGTTTAACTGGATTTCTATGTGAAAGGATGTATTGTGTATGGCCTTGGTTCAATGCACAGGAACAAACATTTAGAGGGTCACCAGGTGAAAGCTGCTGTTTGCAGAAAATGAGCTGGATCTAGCCAGCAAGAGATGAGAACACTAGGCTTATCTTCATCAGAGACACTCAGTTGCCCAAAACGTATCAGATATAGAAGCCTAAAAATGGACTCCATAATGGTTTCAACATTTGTAATTTTATAGAATTGTAGAGTTGGAAGGGATCATCAAATCCAACTCTCTGCAATGTGCAGGAAAACCACTGAAACTGGGAGGTGGCTGTCCAGCCTCTTCTTAAAAATTAAAAGGTAGATTGTTCCACTGTTGTACATTTTCTTTATATTTAAATTAAATTTAGGGAACTTATACTTGTTGCTTTTGGTCCTAGTTTCTGTGGTCATGGAAAATATTTCATGACCATCTTCCCTATAGTTTCCCTTTATGAACCTGAACACAGCTATCATGCCTCCTTTTAGTCTTTTCTTCAAACTGGACATCCCAAGGCCATGTCCTTAAGTCCCATTGCTCTCCTCTGAACTCACTCCAGCCTGTCAATAGTCTTCTGGAAAAGGGGTGCCCAGAATCAACACAGTATTCCAGGTGGGGTCTCACCAGTGTGAGCAGAGAAGAATAATGACAACCTGCATCTTTGATACAGTGCTTCTTTCAATTCAGCCAAGAACTGCTTTTGCCCTTCTATCAGTCTCATACTGCTGATTCATGTTCAGCTTGTGGTCAAGCATTCAAGACAATTCACCTGTCATCGTAACTTTGGAAGATAATACCAGGTAAGATCTGTTGGATTGGACTATAGACCAGGTATCTGATTTCCCACGGTGTTCACTGAGATACCTGTGGAAAACCCACAAGAGGATCACAGGAAAACATCCCCAGACATCTACATTTAAAAAAAAGAAGAAAGAAAACATCCCCAGTTCAAAAAGATTCACCATCTCTACCTTACAGAACACACTTCTGAACTCTGTGGCTGAAGAATGAGGTGCAAATTAAATTGACAATAATGACCAACTGTGAAAATAGTAGAGCACATTTGATGTGGGTGAGCCTTCCACCAAATTACCTTATTTCCTGCAAAAGAGGAAAAATTAGGCCCATAAGTGGACATTATTCCCTTAATGGCAGCTTCTCTAATTCCCTAGTAGCTGTCCTAGGGGGAGGCATAGGAAACATAGCCCCATACACCCGAATGGGGGAAGATTGCCTTTGCACCTCAAGGAATTCTTCATCAAGGAAAACCTAAGAGCAGACGCATGCAGAATATATATAGTTTAACACACATTTAAGGTATTTGTATATTTTATGTATAAAATGTAAAAGGCTAATAGCCCCAATACTGAAAATACAATCACATGAAACACACTTACCTCAGAAAAAAGCACACACACATATACACACACCAAAACCTAAGTGGACAAACATGAGTATAGTAGCTTAACAAACCATGGTTGGAATATATCCTCTTTCCTTTTTTCTCTCCCCCCCCCCGGTTTTCTGTGGTTTTAAGGGGGGGGGTATGGTCCCTAGGAGTTGAAAATAACTTGATGGCACATAATCAATTAATCATAATTATTCCTTCCCTCCAAAAAGGGAGTTTTTCAGATGTATTCCACTGGGTGAGCTGAACAAATTCCACTATCCCAAATTATGGAGATTTAATCTAGTGTTTTACTCAGTGGGAAGGGGAATCCTTTTGTTCCCCTTCTGCAGATAAAGAAAAATCTTATAGCTCAATATATTAACCAAGGGTTTCATTACAATCTCCCTGGCTAAATCATAATATAGTTTTGTTTTGGCCTCATGTATTGTGTGAATGGAGCCATTGGGGTTCACAAGCCATGGCTTGTGGCTTGGTAGGAACCCAGCGAATTGTGATTTATTTTCAAATCTATGGTTAAAGAAGCCAAGCCGTCATGTGTGAATCCAGTTCCTTCCGTGCTCTTAACACCAGAAAGTAATTTCCTTCTTCTCAAGAGCCAGTGGGTGATCTGATCAGCCTAGCCAATCACGCAGAATGTCCAGTCTCTCTTAGGACAGGTGCTAGAAGTTTCACCTCCACCCTGTTTTCTTCCTAACCTAATTCTTTTTCTAAAAAGTCAATATTGAAGTAATTAAAAATACATGACTCTTTTCTCTCTCTCACACAAACATATATACAGAGAGGGAGAAAACAGCAAGTGTTAGTTGTGTTAGTTTGTGTTATTTGAGAACTTTCTAGTTCAGACTATCAAAACACTTCATCCTCTGCAAGGATTACATTTAAATAAATTAGATCCTTCAGAATCAGTCTGAGACCTCCTTTCTGGATAGTGACTTCTGTGGAAGACTTAACTTCTCCCAAAATGCACTTGCTAAATACGGGTACCTTTTGATCCTGGCCCAGGCAGTGATCTTCACCTGCCACTTTGAGGAGCTTCTGCTTATTCTGGCTGGTCCACAAAGTCAACAGCCTCACTCGAGTTCTTGGGGTGTTTGGTTGACAGGTGTGAATGGGACTGTAAGGCCAATCTGGGTTTCTGTCAGCAGATACTGAAATGCTGTTTTGTTCAGATGCAATTGGAGATGTTGATTATTTCTGGCCTCTTTTTCCCGATCAAGGGCAGCCCCTCTCTTCCTTGCAACATGGAACT